TGCCGCTCAAACACTATACTTTTCTGCTCACACTGAAAAAAAATTAGAGGGAACATTGGGTGGAAATGGAATGATACCATCTCTAGTCACTTGTCTTGATGCTATATGGCCAGGAGGTGCAATTACCTTCATATTATTAATTTTAGCTTCTTACTTGCCAACTCTCTTGCTCACAACTTAAAGGGGAGGTTACAAGGCCACAATGCCTCTTTCTCTCATTTCTTGAACAGAGATGGTAGCAGCAGGAACTACCAAGCTAGTACCGCAGAACAGGAGGTGGGACCAGAGGATGAAGTCCAGAAAGTTTTGAGAGATGAAGTATGAATTCTTCAGCCAATCACACTATGAACTCAGCTTGAGTGCTGCCACATGAATCACACCAAACAGAAAGAAAGAACTATTCTCATAATTATAATTTTTAACCACCATAGCTGGTCACGTTGATGGGATGGAAGTAACTGCAGGAACGTCTGGTTTTAAATTCGCAAACCAGTTCTATAGTTTTTAAAATAAATTGTAACCTTCATTCTTTGTATCTATATTAACTAGAGCTTTAAAATCAGGGGTTTTTTCAGTACCATTTTATTTTTGTATAAATAAAGCACTACTGACCTACTTTAAAATTCTGCCTATAAACATTGTTGAATATTATAAGCTTCTTTGACTTGGGCCTTTGCTATACACTGGTTGAAAATCTTTCATAAATCAGTATATAAAACTGTATTTCTAATATACACAGATCTACACAAAAGTAGTCTATTTCTACTATTCTAGAGCTAAAAATTTACTAAGGCTAATATAGTACTTATATCAGTTAATTATCAGCATCAGTATGTTCCACATGCCTTTCTAGTAACAATAATTAATTTATTAAATTTCAAATGTGTTCACAGTGATTCCCAGAATTGCAATCACTCTTGCAACAAATGGAATTTGATATGTAAACTCATACAAGTACATTTATTTAGCTCTTAACCTCTCTGGTACATAGCTCCTCAATGTTATTATCAGACCTCAAAGTTAGTATTTTTAATGCAAGCCTTATGAAAGTCTAAAAAGAATAATTGGACTGAATTTCAAAAAAATCAACCATTAGGCAGTGCCTGTTTTTTCTGTTCAATTACAGAGTAATGTTCAGTTCTATTTGTTGTAGATTCTGAACGATAATTCTGTCAGTATTTGAAATAACTAAAATCTCATAATTCAAAGAAGACCAAATATTTACAAATTTTAATGAGAAAGGATTTGAGAAATTGGAAAGCAAATTATTATGAAATATACCAAGGCAAATATGTGCATGGTTATGCCTTAAGAATAATCTGAAAAAAATATTAAAACTGTACTACTATACGGGTAGTATAAAATATATTATACAATACTATATACTGCCTTTCTTCAAATATGCAAAATGGTGGAGGGGATCCAGATAAATAAGCACAAAAGATATAATGAGAATTAGAGGGGTTCCAGATAATAAGCAACAAAAGGAATAATGGCAGCAGAACAGAAAGAATAAAATAAAGCAGAATGTAGCTTGGGGTTGAACTGTGGGGTTCTTGGTGCTCCCTGAGCTTGGTTGTTTTCTTGCAGACATTTCATTTGCTAAACTAGGTAACATCATCAGTGCTACTAAGGAGTGTAGTTCCTGACCCAATGTTATCCAGTTTGAAACTTTTACAGAAACATCTTGCAATCTAAGAGTATTTACTGTTAGATGTGGCAATAGTATTTTCAAAACAATGTTTTCCCTTGTGTAATCCAAGGACATGTTTTCTAAGAAATCAAAGATAAGGAGGGCCACTTCAGAATACAGCTTCCTTAAAGTTAAGCACACATACCAATCCTGGCTAGAATCTGAAAGCTTATCTGTAGTCTTTGACCTTTTATTGTAATTCAAATTAATAGCATCTACTTTTATCACATTTCTGTTACCTTGGAGAACATGGAACATAGTAACAAACGAACAAACAAAAATCCAGTAATTCTGCAAACCATGTATTTCTAGGATAACGTCAAATAGCAATACTGTAATATTAATAGGCACTGATTTGATACCATAGACGTCAACTGGAAAACTCTCCAGTGCATCCACCCAAATCCATTATAGACAGAAACATTTGCAGATGAATTTTATCATTTTTATATACATACTAATGTTGCTATTGAAATGCACCTGCATTTACTATACAACCTGAAACTGGTTTTTGTTTTCATTTTACAAAAGCTCATTTTCTCTTTTTAAAGCTTACCTGATTCTGAATGAGAAATTTCTTGAACAGCCTTGACAGGGTTAAAGGATAAAACATTGTCATCAAAGCTGATCAGATCTCCTTCTGCAGAAGTAATATTTTGTGTTGGAGATGCTGCAACGCTGCTTGGACAAGACTCCACGGGGGATCTAATGGCATTTGATTGGACAGCTATAGAGGGCTTGGAAACAATACTTGTTGGTTTCAGGGGAAGCATAGGAAGAGAAGGACTTTCAAAAGAGACTGACTTCTTGGGAAGAAGTGGCCTAGGAGCAGGAATGGGAAGTTTTCTTTGTCCATCAGTATTCTCCAAAGCTGACCCACTTCCTGAATTAAGGAGCCCATTGCTATTACTCTTTACAGTCACTAATGTTGGCTTCTTTGGCAATTCAGGCTTGGTTATCATGTTGCTCCCAACTTCCTCAGTGTGAAGGGGCTTCTCTTGGGAGGCAACTTTTTGCTTCTTTTCTGTCCCAGACTCCCATTCTCCGGATGCTCTGTTAACACCTGGCTTGGGTGCCACGACAGGCTTTTTTGCACTAATGGTAGGTTTAGGGCCTAATGAGCGTGGAGATGCTTCTGGTTTCTTGGTTAGTCCTGAAGTTTCAGCATTCCCTTGCATCTCAAATGATTTAATCCGTGATAATATGTTACTTTGGTTGTTGTCTGTATCCATGTTGTCCATTTCTATATGACTTTCCTTAAGGCTATTGTCTAGTAAAAACATCAAAGGATTAGTTAACTCATCATTTTTGCTCCTTGATGAGCTCGTTTGTTCCTGATTGTTTGCTTGATTGTCTTTAGCCACTGGTTTCAGATTGCCCTTTGATCTTGGTTTTGGCACAGGACATACTGCAGCACTAGACGTCTCTTGAGATGTCTGGTCTTCTAAAATAACTAAGAGTTGTTCATTGATGGGAAGACTGTTGTTTATCAGAGATGATGAAGGTCTAGGTGGCTTCTGAGAAATATGTATAGCTGTAAAAAGCAATGTACATATACAATAGGTTTCATTGAAAGATTACAACATCAACTAACATCTTAGGCCAGTGGTTCTCAATCTTTTCTTCACCATGGTCCCCCCTTTAAATACTTTTGTGGCCACGGACCATAGCCACAGACCACCAAGACTTAACTCAAAATTTAAATAACATTTCTTCAGGCCTTCACAGACTCCCTCTAATGACATCACGTTCCCCCAGGGGTACATGGACCACAAGTTGAAAACCACTGCATTAGGCTAATTGTTTTTAAAATAAGTATTGCATGCAATCGTTCCGCGATGATAAAATCAGTTCAATTATCTGCAGAATACGACATCAGTGCTAAGAACAAATAGATTATAAAATTACTTTCATGGAAGAATTTATAGAAATTGTATATTGTGTTCAAGCATATTTTGAAAACATATGCAAAAATTATCTTTCAAACTTTGGTCAGTGTCTACTAAAATAAATGTGCCATAAATTCCAATAAAATATGTTTCATAAATACGTTACATATACAAATATAAAATGACTCAGATAATTCATTCATAAACTAGAATTTATTTAATTTGGGAAAAGCTTTAATAAGATTATATCTTAACTAAGCCTATATATGTTTACTTTTCACTACTATATCTTAACCAGATATAAGCTTTAAAGTAATTGTGCATTAGAATTTACTTGCTGATAAATAGTTTGAGTAAATAAGAGTCTTTAAACTATTTTTGCTAATTTCAATCATGATAATTGGGGATCACCAATTATACATACGTAACATTGATGGAGTGTTTTACTGATGGGATGCAAAATGTGTTGTGGGTGTATTTTTTTAATGACAATGTTGAGATATATACCTCCGGGATTGGATTGGCACTGAAATTTTGTTAATAAAAATTACTGTACACCTTTTTTACCATTTAAATCAGTTTGCAAAATATGTTCTTTGTAGTAGTCTTTGACTAAATATTTGTTCATTTCTTTAAGTAACTGGAAAATTATTTTCAGTTTGGAAGAAGTTGGAATTTCAAGTTTGGATATTATGAGCAAGAAAGGTCTTTTCACTGAGTTCATATTTTATACCTCATTTTTTATAAATGTATAACTTCTGAAAAGTATTTTTGACATATTCTCCTAGATTTTCAGTTACCCAGTACTTTTCAATATATGCTGGTCTTGTTGTATTTGGGTCTTTTCCCGTGTACATCTTACACGGGAAAAGACATGAATACAACAAGACCAGCATACCTACACCCGTGAAAATCTACGAAAACATATACATACATACATCATCAAACTAAAATTAACAGCAATATACCTGGAGTATTTTTGCATTCAGAGATAATGGCGAAATTATTTTTCACATTTATTGCTGGCAAATTGCTGATTATCTCTTCTGGAAAGTCAGTCTGTGTTGAAGATGTAGTAGTACATCTAGAATTAGCAGCACAGGCAGCATTATTATTGCTGGCTGGGATGATTGGCACTTGATTGATCTCTTTGATTACCTGCTCATACGAAGGTGGCTGAAAAATAAAAATACCAAATGTACATACTATTCATGTTAGAAATTCAGCATTTATAAATGTATAAAATCCTAGTCCATCTCCTAAATGCTTTTTAATAGTAATTTTTTTAAAATTCCAACTCCGATAAAAAAACTAATGCAAACTAAAAGGAAAAAAAAAAAGGGGGGGGGGAGATCCAAAAAATGAAATACAAAACAATAGAAAGGAAAAAATAATAATATGGAAAAAAAGAAAAGAAATAAATGGTATCCCCCTTCATCACAAGCATAAACAATTTTAGTTAACTTGTTACCTTCTTTTAAAATACAACCTATTCTTTGTTCCCATTTCCCATCTATTATCCAAAAACAAATCCTTAAAATCTCATTTCAGTCCTGATCAGCTAATGTACATTAAGAGGTATCAAGAGATAACAACATCTGTTCTAACCATGATTACATAAACCGACTTTATATTCCTTCTACTTTTAAGAATCTTGATCTTTAGTCCCTTTAAATAATGCTCTAAAACATGGCTGTCAAACTCCATCACGTCATGTGATGAATCGTGACTTTTTTGTCTGTGCAGAACCAAGATGGGTGTGACGCACCCAGCCCGCAAGCCGCCAGTTTGACACCCCTACTCTAAAACTTTGTTTCTTTTCATTTATTCTTTATATATTTTTCTCCCAAAATTCTTTAATGCCTTAAAAAGCATCTTTTGTAAATACAATATAGGAATTATCCAGATCACTATATGTATATATCCTTATTAATTATTAAGGTTTCAGCTGGTTTCTTTTGTATGCAAAATGTAAATCTTGTTTCAGATCATTTTGTCATTTAAATCTTCAAATTCACCTTCAAATCAGCTTCAGTTCAACGTTCGGTAAAACTTGTTCCTCTTCCATAACATCTTTTAAACACAATCTATCTGTAGAAGCAGACACTCTTAAAATTAACTTCTGGCTCCCTTTTTAAAAAAATATCCTTTAATATGTTGAATATTAAAATATTTTGCTCCATCCAGTATAGGTAAGTCAAAATTAAGAATTCTTCTTCAATGGTAATATTTGTTCTTTTTCGTTCCTGCTAATGTCCAAGCCTCAAAATCCTATCATATCATTTTTTTAAAAATCAAAACCAATGCATTTTCCCATGAAGAGGACTCTTATAATTAATTATAAAATCTTATTTCAAAGTTACTTGGACCCTAAATCTGTTTGCAACTTTCTAAAAATCAAAGTTTTACTTTTTCCAAAAACGTTTCACTCTTTTGCTGTTTATTCCAGAAAAAAAAATTAAAGCTGTAAACTTGCATTTAAAATGTATTTTGATGGAAACTCAATGTAATGGAATACATGGGTGACCTTGAAGAAAGGGGAAAAGAGATGTTGCTTAAGAAACAATCAAATAACAGTCCAAGTCACTTTATGCTCCGAGGAAACTGAGGAAGGACCCACCCAAATGGAGCAAGCAGTTAAAAGTGGAGGATGCAAAGATTGTACTTTCAGACTCTATTAATGTAGCCTTGGAATCAAGTAGATTTAACTCATGTTTCCTGTTTGGTTTACCCAGGAGGGTTGGCATTCACATACAATTTGTCGATGGAAAGGTTCCTAGTAATTGAAAAGCAGCTTACAAGCAATTTCCAATACTGATTAATAAAGGAAATACATAAACCCAGTGTCTTTTGAAGGCATCAACTGGGCTTAGAGCAAAATGACTACAGATAGTCCATGACTTACAGCCATAATTGAGTCCAAAATGTATGTTGTTAAGTGTTTGTAATTTTGCCCCATTTCACCACTTTTTTTGCCACAGTTAAGTGAATGACTGCAGCTGTTAAATTAGTACATTAGTAGCTGTTAAATGAATCTGGCACTCGCATTGACTTTGCTTGTCAGAAGGTTGCAAAACCAATTGCCAAACATCCAAATTTTGATCACATAATCAGGGGGATGCTGCGATGGTCATAAGTGTGAAAAACAGGAACTTTTTTCAGTGCTATTGTAACTTTGAACAGTTACTAAATGAACTTTGAATGGTTACTAAATGAACTGTCAAGAACATAGAGAAGAAATTGTCTGAAGAATTTATGGCAATCTCAAGTTATCTTTTTGTTCAGAGGAATTTCAAAAGCCAGTCTACCTGCTGGCTTTTTATTATGCCATAATCGTCAGTTCTATTTTTTGCCACTTCAGTTCGCCATTTCTTCTCCTGAACTCACTGTTCATGAATTCTGATAACTACAGTTATCTCACTACATTATAATGGTCAAACAAACATCAACTTGAACCAAGAAGGAAATCCTGTGCTTCCTCACCTCTGCTGGAACAAGTTCAGTAGTTCTCCAAGGCGTCTGGCTATGAGTTGACTGGAACAGTAGCCCTTGTTGAGGGACACAGTTTCCACCTGGAAACCAGGAGGATGGTCCAAGTGGCTCAGCTGCAACTATTGTGATTTCAGGTCGTCTGGATGGAGAAGTGGGGGGAGAAGAATAGGACCAAATTCAGCAATTTATGATTACACAGTATTTGGAAAGTGATTGGCTCTTTCTAATTCAGTTGCTTGGAAACACCTTTTCTCATTTTTCAACACATTAGTGCCCATAGATAAGTCCATTTACTACCTTGTTTTTTTTTGCCTATATCTAAGAGATCAAATAAAATCTCCAATATTCTTATAATTGGCAAGAATTAAATTTTTGAAATATCCATAAATTTGCTTTAACCATGATTGTCCAAGCTTTTGGTTTGCCCATACCACACTGAATAATTGTCTTGGGCTGCATATAAAATATGTAATATAGTTAATGTACTATATGAATAACAAACTTCATTTATTTTTCTATATGTTTTATTACCTCGTGGGGCTGCATTAGTATTAATATTTGGAAAATGATAAAGTCACTTGTCTTCAATCAAGGCTGTAATTGTTAATTTATTATAAACTTTTAATATCAATATTCATTTTAATTGTATTATTAGTCTAACTTACATTATGTTTTAATCAGTAGATGCCATCCTGATTGTTGAAGAATCAGACAGAAAGAGTAGAAATTAAATAAATAAAAGAACAAAGTCCTTGAAACTTTGTGTGAGTTCCTCCAATCCCAAATCTCTTTTTCAGTGAATGCAGTCCAATGAATATGCCACAGGACAAAGGATTGATTTTAAAATATAATTTCCAAAGAAAACATATTTAAATCTATTTATTATCTCATTTTTAAACATGTGTAATAAAAAAACCCAGTGGAATATTTAGATACTCTGTAACAACATTTTCATTTATATGTTATAAGTCACTTCTTACACTTATTTTATTGGTAGAATAATTAGAAATTGAGTGATTATCACCATACCTTCTTTCTCTTTGCTGTTCACTGTGATAAGTTGTCCGGGAAGCTAATTTTAAACAAAAGGCAGACAATTAATTTTTTACCACTGCTAACATAATATTTCAATGTGTGTTTCCCAAAATTCTTCAGAAATGATTACTATCCATAGGTGATTGTCAAAAAATCATTAATTATTTAATTCAAAACACAAGATTAAAGTGTTTTTGAGTCCAGCATTTGTTCAGCATCTCCTTATGGCTTTGAGATTAAGGAAATTTCATTAGACATACCTTATGGCCAATGAGAAAATATAGAGCATTCAAAATTAGTTCCCCAATATTAAACTATATGTATACTGTACATGGTTGATTTATTAAAGTCTTTAACATTCACATATACCTGATTTGACTTCATTTTAGTACAAAGGCAAAAAGTCTGATATGAGAAATATTCACACAGTCAATTAAACCATATGGACTTTGGCTTGCCATTATTAAGTGAGCCACTTCTGGTTTATAAATCAGACATTACTTCGTGATCCATTGGATAATATATTCATCAGATTTTACTACATTCATCATCATATATATTCATCAAATTTGAGTTAGCATACTATGTTAACCAAAAGAATATGTGATTGGATCTAGCAATTTGTTCTACTTTTCTGAGACCCCCCATTTCATGTCTGTGCTTTCAAATGACAAGCGAAAAGTAGACTGGGAATTCCAGTAAGTAATACCATAATTCCAAGCATAACCTCAGTAAGATTCAGGCAATAGTACTACTAATAAAAAAATTAAAGCTTATGTTAGGTAGTTATATTAGAGTACATTCCTTATGTAAAATGACTTAACTATAGATTTTCTCATTATAAATCTTATTAAATAACTGAAGCTTTATTTGAATGAAATCATCATCGTATATAATTAAACAATAGCAAATTAGGAGGAATATTCTCCAGATAACATGATTTAGCAGAAACTCTTGTTTGATTAAGCAGCAGCAAATTATTCTAATTGCACCATTTAAAATTTATAGAAGCAAAGCTCCAGGTGGGGAAGTGAGGAAAGACATACCTCTTCTACGGGGCATATTTGAGGTGCACTATTCATGAGTGCTAAAGGAGAAAAAGAAGGGTTACAGAAGAAGATAAAGAAAGAGAAAAAAGAACAAACCAGATGAACAGTAAAGATCCATTAGACTGTCTTTGTTAGTCAGATAAGGGTATCATAGTATGTTTCCCCCACAAATGAACTCTGGCAGTGTTTTAAATGCCAGTTTTAAAATTCAAATTTGGTTTTAAAAAGGAGGGGGGGGGAATTACCAGCAGCTTCATACTGTATCTATTTAAACAACAGAATTAAACAATTTCCTTATTTTGAAGGTGTTGGTACTTTTTCCCCGACTCTTCAACACGTATATTAATTGAAGATAGTAGAATTACTCAAAACTTCTATGTTCTACAATGGCAAAACATTGTTTTGATTTCTCTGTCTTAGTAAATATCAATTTTGCAACAAATGTTCATGTTTCCTTATTAATGACTTTTTCAGGGAAAAACACATGCTCCTTTTATAGTCTTTTTCAGTGTCAGAGGACAGGCTGCCTGCAAATTAGCCAGCACCTATAGCCCAGCAAAGTGTGGCAATAAAAGCTGAGCAGAGACATAGCTTAGTATGGTGGTGTTGGCGTGGGAATCAGTGGGAAGATGGTTGGTGCTCGCTTGGGAAACTAAAACAGCCTGCAGCAGCCTAAAGCAAATAGAAGAGTTACTGTTCTTCAGAAGTAGGGCTTACATAGAGAAACCGTGTAGTAGTTGTAGTAAAGCTGCAGTAAAATAGGGAAAGAGTGAGTACTTGTAGATGTATTGCCTAAGAGACCAGGTGGGTTGTGTTGGCTCTCTGGGGTTTTGGACATTCAGATAAACAGATTTAACTTTGAGAAATACAATTTCTCTCTTGTTATTATCATAATCTATCACTGCATTTAAAAGATAAAGACTCACTATCAGGGGTGGGTTGCTGTTGGCATTACTGCCGGTTCGGTGCATATGCAATTTTGCACATGTGCCAGACGTGCGCTCTGCGTGCATGCACAGTTGCCCGTAAATAGGTCTGTGCATGCACAGAACATTTTAAAAAACATGCCACGCCGACCGGGGAACTGGTTCGGAGGTGTAGCAGGCCTGGGTTGCTGCCAGTTCCAGCGACCCAGGCAGGCAAACCACTACCAGTTTGGCCAAACCGGTCCAACCATAGGAACCCATCTCTGCTCACTATGCTTCCTATAAATCTGCACATAAGGAATCTTAAAGAAATTTTCAGTCAAGATCCATGCATAAATAATTTCTGCTTGTAAACAAAATCTCCTTTTTCATTTTAGTCATGTGGTCTTAAACTGAAATTGCTTTAGAGAATTTCTTGAGTTTAAAAAGCTTTCTGACAGTGAGATAAGGATCTCTGGGGCGTTAGATTGTTATGCTGGGTGTAGGGAGATCCACCTTCAAGTCCTGTTCAGCCTTAGGAACATTAAGTCATTCAAAATCTCCTGGTATACCTTATCTAATTCGATGACATATAATAATGTTATTTTTCCCCCAGGGCTATGGAACCATACTCACTGAAACCTAATAAATGCTAAACAATTTCTTTTACATGCATACAATGTCCAGTTTAAGAACGTCCAATTTAAAGGCAACCCCTAGATACAAATGGGCTGCCTATTACTATAAATGGTGAACAGCACTGCCTTCCTTGAACCCACAAAGCACTGAAGCTGTGCAATCATTTCAGGTATCACTGAAGCCACATGTGTTTAATATATAGCCAACAATTCAACAATTCCAGAAAGCACTGCACAACTTCAATGCTTCACCAGCTCAAGGATGGAACTCAATCTGTCAGTTTTAGTAATAGGCAGTCCATTTGTAGTAATAGGCAGTTCAACTTAAAAAGAAATGCAGGTTAAAAACAAAACATGTTCCTAACTCAGGCACTGCCTTACATTTCCTTCCCTATTCACCTTTCCAAACAAAAATATTGTAAGCATGCATACAATAATTGTGTGCATCCTTTTGTAAAAGCTACCAGCTAATTATAATAATATTCCAGAGTGGCACAAAGTCACCTTGTAGGTGAGACATAGGCAGCATAAAATGTAGTAAATAATAAATAAATAAATAAAAATATGCCTGTATGCCTGCATGTGTGCATATGACATGTATATTTGGGCACACCAGGGGTTGTGACACAAAATACATACATACATACACACACACACACATATACATACACACACACACACACACATATATATATATATATGTGTGTGTGTGTGTGCTGTATTTGTGCTGATAAATAAATAAAGGGAGACTAGTATAGATCTATTTCAAGCTATTTAGCTCTCATCAGCTAGCCATACCCTTACTGGGATTGGAACCTGTGCTGTATTGCATCTTAGGCACAGGTTCCAATCCCAGTGAACTTCCTCCCATATTTGGGCATACCAAGGGTTGTGACTTTAAATATGTGTCCTAAAAATATCTTCTGAAAAAAACTCTGATATTTAGAAACTTTGGTTCTTCTCTTTAATTTAATGCTTCCCCCCTCTCCAAAAGTTGGGGAAAAGTTACTTTGATTGGAAAATTGGAAAAATGGTTAGAGGAAATATGAAAAGTGTTTTAGTAAAATTGTATTTATATATATGACAATTCCATACAAGCAACCATGTTAGTTTGAAGTAAAAGAATGCGAGAATTTGACAAAAATGCTTAAGGGTGAAGGGATGAGAAGAAAGTGAAACAGTATTCGTTTATCAGAGTCAATTTAGTCTGCCACCTATTTATATTATCTAGAACATTACAAATAATTTATCATTAAGCCTGAATTAATATAGTCATACTACGTACAATATATTTTCAGTTATTACAATACAAATAATAGCAGGAAAGTTGCCCTTGTCAGATTTTTCAGACAACAGATCAGCATGCCACATCTCTCAAGTGGCCTGGAGTAGATATGTAGCTGTGCTCCCCTAAAAAGAGCTAGTGCATAATTTGTGGGTCCTCTGGAACTCTCAGCTGCTGCTGGAATAGCCGGTGAAACCTGTACTCAGGGGTAGCCTCAGTTATCCAGCTGCAGCTAGCCTGCCAGGTGCTACTCTATCTGGAGCCAGAAGTACAGGCAACAGTTGCTCACCCCATCATTTCACTATTGGAATATTATTATATATTCTACATGGGAATGCCCTTGAAGATCATCCCAAGACTACAACTGATGCAAATTTTGGCTAAAGGAATTACAAACTGTTCTATAGCATCAATTATTGTAGCAGCTACAGTGGATGCCATTCTGTTTCTGCTTGCAGTTCAGCATGCCACATCTCTCAAGTGCTACGTATCACTTTTAAAGTCCTCATGGCTGGAAGCCTGGTTATCTGTTGGATGATAGAACCAAGCTATCCCAACTAAAGCATTCATGCAGAGAACATATGCTCAGAGGTCCAACACATATGAAATATAATGGGAAGACACTCAAAAGCAAGCATTTTTTGCAGGGGCTCTGTTGAATAGAAAAAGGGTCACCAATCAGACAGCATGTGAAACCAGCCCCATCCAATCTACTGAAAAACCACCCTTCATGGAACCAGTCCCTGGCATCCAAAAGGTTCCCGGGGTGTGTGTGTTGGAGAACACCTTTTCATAATATATATGATTTGTGCCTGGATCTTTACAACCCTGAGTAAGAGATAATTGTGCCTGTGGTGAACAATGGTGGCACTATTAATAAAGTATACAATTCTTGACTGATTATAAGATAGCATGTGTGTTATTGTTATGGTTATCAATTAATGTTTATTCATTTGCTGTTGCTATTACATAAGCTGTTGCTTTATAAATAAACATATTTATTTTCTTATAACATAAGCTGTTGATATTGTAAGCTGCTTAGATCTGTACTGACTGAAATGACGTAAAACACCAGAAATAAACAAATCTTTCAGCTATTCAAATAACTCTAAAATCCAATGAATGCTAATAATATCCCACTATGCTATATCACAGTATAATTTACAACCACTAAATACAATGACATGGTTAAAGGCTCATCTAAACAAAAAAATGAATATTGACATTTATTAGACAGAAGAAGCAAGAACCAGGTTCTTTTCCTGTGGATTCCAAATCAGGTGGGATCATGTAATACCTCTATCAGCCTGCTTTTAACTTTGGTTCAGAATTAGCATTAAATCATAACTTAGCATTACAATAACAAGCCATAACAAGTTTTACAATTGTTTTTTTTCTTCCTTTACAAAGAGAATTTTTGAAAAAACTTGTTTTGGATTAACTATAAATTTCCTCATAATCCAAAGTCATATTTTAATTTATGGTAGTGACACGTTCAACCAACTTTGTTCAGCTTAACTACAGAATAGAAATCAAATGCTCTATTAAAGTGCAGATAATATAAAATAGAAATTCTGATATCTTTCTCCAAAACTTGTTGGAGAGAAGACATGACAAATACAAGTTCTAGCATCTTCTTGTTTCATAAAATGAGTAAATAACAAAGAAATATATTTAAGGACTTATCAACATTTTTTCTTTAAACAGGTATGTTGGGTGAGAAGGCAAACAACTGATCTGAGTAATTTAACCCATTTATTTTTAATCAAAATACATTGGATGTAATTTACATAATTTTGATAAATTACATGAATTCTGTTTAGAAGAGCTCAAAAAGAAACAAATTTATCTGTTAAACGAAACAACAAGAATCAGGTCATGTATAATGATGATAATCAATCCTGGAATTTGCAATATCTACAAGAAAGTGCAGGAAAGAAACATAATTTATTTTCAATGGTAAAGCAACTTACAAACAACACTAAAAACCAAAGCACCAGCAGTCTATTTAATGAAAATATTAATAAACATTTGTTCATCTCTTCGGCATTCATCAGATAGATATAACATATTAAAAATCTACTTACTTCTCTTGATTGCTGCTTTAATAGATGACAAGGGACCTTGGCTTAAAAAATGAAAAGTGGAACAAAAAATACAATTACACATTATACAAAAATATAGATCATCTAGTAAAGCGTGCATTTATGACGGTTGCCATGTCCCAGGGTCATGTGATCATCTTTTGTGACCTTCTGACAAACAGTCAATGGGGAAGCCAGACTCACTTAACTTAAGTTTCTAACTTAACAATTAGAGTGATTCACATAACAACTGTGGCAAGAAAGATTGTTTAAAAAGTGAAATTTCACTTAACAATTCCTTGCTTAGCAATGGATATTTTGGGCTCGACTATGATTGTAAGTCAAGGACTACATATATTAGACATCATTGCATATGAGCAGATTTGCAAAAAAATTGTAATTTTTTCCTTCTTCACTGATTGGCTGAAACCAATTATGGAAAGGAGAACTACAGGGACTGCCACATACCCACAGGAAAACATTCAGTTGTTTACCAATTTATCAGTTATTTCAGGATATTGGTATTTGTATTGTGGCAATTGTTTCTATGTGCTAAAATACAGAAAGGGGCAGAAATGATGCTTTTAGTACTAACACTGCTTGGTATACACTCTATACTGTATGAAGTTGTAGTATGGATTGATTGATTATGTTTTACTATTGTGAGAACTCAGTTTTCATAGTTTGTGGCTAATCCAACTTAATATAAACCTGTTTAAGTCAACCACAATTTAATATGCTAGTTGAACTCATTCATTTTGTCCTTTATTGTATTATCCTTGAAATTTATAAACATTTTTGCATACAATATATGATGGGTTTTTTATTTCTTTTATTTTGTTTCACCCTGGGATTCCCCCCCCCCAAATGTATATTGGTAAAATATATTATTTTCCTATATTTGGACTATATATTCCAAAATCTAGAAACCAATTTAGGACAATGAAAATCATCACATACAGGCAAATTCTTGTGCTCCAAATCAACTATTTCCAGCAGCTTAAATTTCTAGATCAAGATTATCAACAATAAAAAGGACGAATGTAAAGTTCAACCATTTGTTCAGGGATAAACCTTGTTTGATATTTCTGGTAACTCTTAAAACTCTTTTTGATGAACTATGATTGAAAAGAGGATGATTTGTGAATTCTGTTTAGATAAAGTTTGGCTATGAGGAGGGCTGTTTTTTTATTTGTAACATTAAAATAGATGGAAAAGTTAGTACATTAGTTTATGTCGATGTTTTGAAGGTTGAAAACCACTTTTTATTTTTGTTTTCTCTTTTTATTTTTCTGCACTTTCTGATCATTTTTATCTTCTAGTTAGTTTTAACTATGTTTATTGAAAACTTCGGTACAATTATTAACTAAAATAGAATCCTTCATTCTATTCACTCAGACCTTAACTCTTCAAGAGGCTGATAACTAGAGAAAGTAATTTTATATAAAAAGTAATAGAATCTATTTTATGTTCTATTGTTTTAATCTGTATAGCTTAATCTACTGCATGCTAAACTTTAGCAAAAATAAAAAACAAAAGTCAACCCTAGAAAAGTATAAACAATAAAACAGCCATCGCCACAAACATTTCGTTTCTCTGGTTACTGTTAAAGCAATAGATTGCACATAATTATTGAAAAATATCTATGAAAAGTTATTTCAAAAATTTCTGGGCAGCACAGGCAGGATGTTAATATTTCTGGTGGCTGAAATCCACATAGCACAATGCTAATTGACATATTATTCTCTTTCCTTTTCTATCTTTTTATCCTGAAATATATTTCATATAACCCTAAAGATCTGAAAGCTTCATTCTTCAACTAAATTCATCTATATAATTTTATTGTGCTTTAGTAATGAAGTCTAACTACAAACAGATTAATGCATATTCTATGAGGGAGAATAATACAGGAAGTTATACATTACCCAAGAATGAGAGGCAATAGGTCTAGAAGTTGTAGTAGAACATTTTTTTTTACTTTTTACTTCCTATTTTCCTATTCAATGCTCTGAATGCACAACCCTACTGATCCTTTCAAGTTTCAAGAGAGAAAAAGAGAGGCAACCCTTCTCACTTTACAGCTTCTAACCTTTTTAAAAAAAAATCTGAGGTGACTTAATAAGTAACTCCAGAAGTGAAGGCAAACAATAGAGCATCCCTCGTGGATTGGGTGAGTTTTCTGCTATAATTTTGAAGATTCCTGCTCTGAGTAGGAACAAACAACCCCTTCTCTTTTTAAGGAAAATACAGAGAACTGAGAAGAGAGAATATTTTTGTAGAAACTTCTAAAGTGGGAAAAATAATTTTTATAGGCATTATAAAATCTATCAAATGTTATAGAGGTTGTTTCTAAAAAGGTGCTTACAAAAGGACCTGTAATTTTTTGCCACCTGTTGTCAACAACAACACATGTTCATCACTGTTGCAATTATCTAATCTCTTAATTCCCAAGTACAAACCAAAATACAGGAGAAAAAAAAACATCATGAGAGCATCTGGAGTTGCTCTTATAATAACAGAAGAGGTTAAAAATCCCATGAGTCTATTATCTCGCATAAGAGTGAATCACTGACTTGTTTTCTGGATCTTCAGCTATTTCCCATTTCAAACCATTACTATGATAATATTAATGATGAATTATTCTTCACCTTAGTTTTGTTCTTAAATGGTAACTTTCCCAAATGGACAAATTAGTTTGGGGTTTCAACATAAAACTAAGGCACAAATCGTATATTTCAACACTGTATAGCAGTAGGATAAAAACATTAAATTAAATTAAATCAAATCATTGTGAGGTCCAATACAACAAAAGTGGATAGCAACAGATTTATTCTTAAAGCATTAATGCTATAAAATAAATGTGTTTGGAAAAAAACTTTGTGGATCAGAATCTAAACAATTTTAATACTTAAGACTTCCCACTTTAAGCGTTTAAGATCCAGAGAACTCATTCCCACTGGGTTTTTTTTAATATTTTGTACTACAGATAATTTTAAATGATCAAATCTTTATAAAAGGAAGAATCTCATCTACAAAACCATTATCTTTCTGCTCAGTAACAGCTTGTTCCAAATTCTCCATGACTCAATTGAGTTACACCCTCTATACATTTTGAAGAGTGGCCATTTATGAATTCTAGTGTGATACAACCACACCTCTTCTAAACATGTCTTTCCAAATGCAGTAATATAGCGTGCACTGACATAGTAACAAAATGTTTAATGTTATTCTGTCTCTAATTACATTTCTACTACATTACATTGAAGAAAACAATACTTGTTTATATCCTAACACAACTCTCTTATATCCTAACCTGTGATATACTCATGAAATGCAATCATATTTTTAAGTGCTGACCAATATTTACCTCAATGTTTGCGTATTTTTATTTTATTTATTTGTAATCCACTTTTAGTATTTTTTACAAACAACTCAAGGTGGTAAGCATATCTAATATTCCTTCCTTCTTCTATTTTCTCCACAACAAAAATCCTGTGAGATGGGTTGGGCTGAGAAAAAGTGACTAGCTCAAAATACTTTCAGTACGTACAGGGCAATATTTAAGGCATTCAGAAACCTTTTAGACTAAAATGATGCTACATTATTTTACTCCCCTTGAGAAAAGGAAGATTATGGCGATTCTCATCCTTTAAAATACTTTAAATGTGTATTAAGAAATGGCTCTTCAAACTCTCTTGCAACCCACTCCAGAAAGGCTGGACTATTTGTCTTACTCCCAGTATTATAACTGTCATTGAACATGTATGTAACTTTCAGGGGGTAGAAACCATTTTTAAGGGTGTGTCAAACCCTATCAGAAACATTATCTAACCCTGTTTTAAAGAGCTACTCTATCTTTACAATTACAAGGTACTGAATGGTGAGCTGAAGATCTGCCACTGCCTGCGGAGGGGACCCTGCCTGAACTAGGACATCATCTAGGTAGCATTGAAGTCTCACCGGGATAGTTCTTAGGTGAGCCACCAAGACATTTATGAATGTGCGAGGAGCTGACGCCAGGCTGAAGGGGAGGGCCCTGTATTGATAATGAAGGTCCCCTTGTGAAAACCTTAGGTACCTGCGATGAGCCGGCATGATTGGGATGTGAAGGTAGGCCTCTGTTAGGTCTACTGATGCCAAGAGGTCCCCCCTCGAATGCCCTGCAGAATTGACTTGAGGGAGGACATCTTGAAGCACCTGTAGATCAGGAAGCGGTTCAGGCATTTGAGATTCAGAATCGCCCTCCAGCCCCCCGAACTCTTCGGGACCACAAACAGGTTGGAGTAGTAGCCCTGACCTCGTTCCATAGGAGGGACCGCCTCCACCGCCTGGATGTCGAGAAGATGTTTTACGGCCAGATCCATCAGGCGGCGGCGATCCAAGCACCTCGATGGTGGGAACGACCTGAAGAGATCAGGGTGTGTGGAGAGGAACTCCAGTCTCAGACCGTGATGGACTGTGGATCTGACCCAGACGTCCGAGGTAATCTCGTCCCAATGATCTGCATAGTGGGACAGACAGCCACCTATGGGAAGGCTCGGGTTTAAGTCACTTCCCCTGTGGAAAGGATGACCGCCTCTTTCTCAAAAGGGCTGCCTAGACTGGTGTTGGAACCTGTTACAGTCCTGATAAGCCTGCCGTGGGTACTGCCTGTCTGACCTGAACGACTGGTACCATTGCTGGTGGTCATAATCAGGGGCCCTTTACGAAGGTCTGCGATAAGGGTGAGTGCGGGCCTTAGTCTTTTTGGCGTTAGAAGGGAGAACCTTCTTGTCTTTATTCTCGACCAAGAGGGGGTCGAGGGCCTCCCCAAAAAGCTTGGGATCAGTGAAAGGGGCGGCAGCTAGATTCCATTTCACCTTATTGTCCATCTACCAGTTACGCAACCACAGCAGACGACGGGATGTAACCGAAGTGACCAAGGCGCTGGGGGTGAATTTGACCTCGTCCAGGGGCGCATCAGCAGAAAATTGGGCGGCAGCCATTATTTTAGTAATATCCTGATGGAGTCGCTTGCCCTGGGATGGAATGCAATCCTGGAGCT